TTAAAAGAGAAGCATAAAACTAAAGTTAAGTGATGCGGAGATGAGAATGATTGGGTGGATGAGTGGCTTTACACTTAGAGATAGAATGCGAAATGAATATATTCGTGATAGGGTTGGTGTAGCTCCAGTGACGGGCAGAATCAGAAAGAGCCGTCTTAGCCAGTGACAGACAGAATTAGAGAGAGTCGTCTTAGATGATTTGGTCGCACTAAACGTCGACCAACTGATGTTTTGATTGGAAGAGTAGATGTTTTAGATTCGACTCATGTTAAGAAAGATAGAAGTAGGCCTAGAAAGATTTGGGCATATTGTATTAAAAATGACTTAATTTATTAGAATTAAATGAAATTATGACATTAAATAGGACTCAATGGGAAAAAAAATGCATGCAGCCGACCCCACTTAGTGGGATAAAGACAGAGCAGTTAGTCAGACATATGCTTGTTAGTTGTAAGTTTCCTGTGTTATGGGGTTTGATTCCCGACGGCTGAGGGTGTGGTGCTTGAATTATTAGGCGTATCGGGGATGACCGAAGCTCGTATAATAGCCTCAAGCCATTCCTTAATATATATATATAGGCGCATGGGTCACCCCAGACTTGATGGGGGTAGAGCCAATAGAGTGGGTTGGGGACCTCACGTCGTGACCCATTTAAATAAAAAATAAAAAATACAAATTTCTATCTTTAATGAACAAATAGATGGTATATCAATGCAAATGCAGTATATAAACATAAAAATTTACGTATCTAAATCCCTTAATTTTATTTGCAATAAATAATGCCAAATATGCCCAACATAAAATGCAGCTCCTGTTCAAAGTTCCACTCCAATCTTCATATACAGTATCACTCTACTATAAATACCCCCTCATTCCCATCCTCCACCGTCGTCCCCAAACCCCGCCCAAAATCACCCAATTAACCCAATGTCGCCGGCGACGATAACCTTTGCCGCCCTGATCGTCATGGCGGCGATCTACTGCGGAACGAACCCTTTCAATCACGGAGCCATGGCCGGATTTCCGGGCTTCGAGACCTACAAGGTGGAGCTCCCTCCGGCGACTGCGGTGCCGGCGGATGCGGTGGATTCCGATGACCGGCTCACGGCGGCGGAGGTGAGGTTCATGAATCAGGTGCAGGGGCCGGAGAGCATCGCCTTTGATCCCACCGGCGGAGGGCCTTACACCGGCGTTGCGGATGGTAGGGTTTTGTTCTGGGACGGGGAGCGGTGGAGGGACTTCGCCTTCACTTCGCCAAACAGGTTAGATTGTTCCGTCACTGTCTATTTGGTAGCTTCCTATTAATTGAATTCAGACATTGTTTGTCTAATTTGTCTCGCATTCCATCTTCTTTCTGTGGCAAAGATTTATTTAGGAAATTTATTCTTCCGTGATTTCAAAACTTTTTTTGAATTTGATAAATCCACGTTTACTAAATTCTATTTAATATAAATTATGTTTCTTGTATAACTTAAAATCGTATTTAATAAATCTGATTGAGAGACGGACTAGAAACTTAATTTTATAGTCGCTCGTGAGGTTCCTCTCTGTGGCTTTTCAGGTTCGACACAAAGACCGGCTTTGATAAATTTTCTTTAATGTACATCTATTTAGGAGAATTTGAGTAAATTGAAGTGTGATATTTTGAGGTCGCACCACAGTTTTTTCTATTTTCTAAAACTATTTTTTGCCCGCATTCTCAAAAATCTGGACTTAAAAGTAATGTTTTTCCATCATATCTAACTACCTGCAGTGCAGTGGTTGCCAGAAAATTGCGGTCAGATTATTATTATTTTTTTATATTTATAATAACCACCACAACTTTTTAAATAATGAGCGTCTCCCACGTTCACAAAAATTTGTAGCTAAAAGCCGTATTTTTTCATTGTATTTGACTAACTACAGTGACTGCTAGAAATCTATGATCTGACCTTTTCAATTATTATTATTATTTTTTAATAATCACCATAATTTTTTAAATAATAAATTCTTCTACAGAAGTTTCACAGCTGTTAAATACATAATGGAGCGGTATGTAATTAAATATATTTATTTTTTTTATTTTTATTTAAAATTAAGTAATTTCTGTGCAAAAGTATTAGAACTGGCCTCTGTTCTGTGCTTTTGTAAGTTACTTTTTGACAGATTTACATATGTATCATTTAATTTTATATATATGACAAATATTAAAAATATGTAATAATTAAGTGGATTAAAAAAATATTTGTGTTATTGCTAGCCAGGTGGCGCAGCTGGATTAGCTGCCATATTCCCGAATCTTTTATTTAAGAGTTTTTTTTTAATATTTAATTTAAAATTGGCTTATTTTGTCAATGGTTTTTGCAGCTTTTTTTTAATTCGATTATTATTTGCTTTTGCAGTACTTTATTGTGTATTTTTTTTTATTCTCAACATCATCAATAACTTGAGCAAGGCTTGACTTGGTTTGATTAATTAATGGAGTTCGAGTTTCAGCTCGAGCTTTTAAAAAGTCGAGCTAACTCACGAGCATATGAAAGAGAAAAAAAAAATATTAATGTAAGCTAATGTTTAAGGAAATGATAAATAAAATGAGCATTTAAGGAATAATTGATAATAAATAGCTTAATATAAAATAAAAAATATTTTTAATAATTTGATTGAAAAATTTTGAATTAATTTTGAATTTTAATATATTTTTATATTAGTTATTTTAAAAGAGCTCATTCTGGAGCTAGCGAGTCGAGTTGGGGCTTGCTTGACTGTACTGCTGTAAAAAAAGCTCATTGTTCATGAACAACTCGAGTTCGGCCTGTTAAGTAGATAATGTTATGTTCGTTCGTTAAGTAAATGAGCCGAACACGAACAATATTCTTAAGCTCAATTTATGAACGAGTCAAATACTAACAGCTCTTTGTTTGTGCGTATTCAGCTCGTTTTAGTTTGAAATAAAAAAAATCATATGATTATTTTCATAATAATGTATTATATATATTTACATTTTAGATCATAACTACTCATGTGACAATGTGATTATATGTCTTCTTTTGTATAGATTAAGTTCAAGGCCGAATCCAACACTCTACATCTATTTTTTGCAATTAATTTTAACAAAACAGTTTCAAGCTGAACACGAACAGTACTGTTCACGAGTAATTTCAAACACGACTCTATTTCGAGCACGATCGGTCTCAAACAAGTCATGCAAGTCAAGTCTGAGCGCTCTGAAGCTCGACACTTTTACTGCCGTGGACTTGATTTTGATTTGATGGCTCATAGAGCTTGATTTGATAGCTCATTTATTATTTTTGCTTAATATACTTTTTCTGTTTATTGACCCCATGTGCTGACAGGAGAAATTCATTAAAGTTTTATATTAAAATACACCTTTCTATATATATAAGAAAATGACATTAATATAAGTGGCATTTATATACATACCACCCATTCCTATGTATTTACATATCTATGACCAACCCATATCTTTTTATATGTATATCATTTCATATAAATATAAAAATTTAGATGCTATATATATATATGTAAATATTGAGGATTGTGTGCTATACATGTGAATCTTTCTTAAATGAACCTAATTCAAATATATTAATGGTGTGAGAAAAAATTGCAAAAAAATAGGAATTTACAGTCATACCACACATTTCATATTTATTTACCACTATCTCTTTAAAGTAAATTATATTCTTTTCATGTATGTGTTCATGACACCGAGCTATTATAAGCTTAAGAGCTTTTCCCTTTAACCAAGAGGTCATGGGTTCAAGATAATATGTGTACTTAGGGGTGAGCGAGCTTAGCCTTAGCTCGTGTTCGACTCGTTAGAAAATATTACTGTTCGTGTTCGGTTTGTTTGCTTAGGGAGCCAAACACGAGCTGCTTGCGAGCAAATACTCGTTTTGACAACCCTAATCATGCAGCCATAGAGATTTATATCTTATTGTTTATATTAAAATATTTTTATATATAATTTAATATATTCATATTCTATTTGTTTAATTCATAATTTTATTTGATTATAAATCTTTGTAAGCTTGTAATCAATTAAATTTTTTTGAAGTTGTACTCATCAAATTAGTTATTTCGAGCCAAATACAAACAAACAAATCCTTATTTGTGTTCGGCTTATTTATATATCAAGCTCAAAAAAATTGTTTTTGTTT